TGTGAATCCTTGGACAACTAACTTTATCTATTTGACTCTGTTTCCTTGTCTGTATAATGGAAGAGATGATACACTATTCAGCCTGCTTCCTAGAATCTGACATCAAAGTTGTAATGCTGCCTTGTAAGTCACACAGTGCTGCCTTTGAACATCAATGGTCACCACCTAGGGTGCTACCATTAAGCAAGCCCACGCTACTTAACAACCCCTATGTCAAATCCTTGTGTCCCGATCACACATAATCCACCAAAAACTCAAAGATGTTTTGCTGTTATTTCAGTGTTACAGAGGAGGGAACTGAAACTCAGAGAGGTGAAGAAAATTGCAATAAATGGGAAAAGGAGGATTTTTATCTGGATTATCTGGCACCTACCTTTGTAAGATACTATCTCCCAATATTATTGGTGCTTGTCACTATAGTAGGAATTAATCCACAGCCCTCACCTTTACTTCATCCTATTCTTCAGTTACTCTGTGCTCTACTCTGACTTCATGTGATTCCAGACCTGACCTGTTTATGCTTCATTCTTGGGTGAGGCCTCAGGTACTACTCAATAGATAAGTGCACTATGTCATTTTTCTGACACAACAACTCTATTAGGTAAATACTATTATTATCCCCCTTTTATAGACAAGAATACTGAAGCTCAGGGAAACAAGGAACTGACCCAAGACCACCCACTCAGGGAATGACAGAGTAGACTTGAACCAAGGCAGTTTAACCTCAAAGCCTGAGCATATACTAATCCCTCGGATTGCCAGGGATATAAATCTTACCAGGTGGTGAGCAAGCCATTTTGCAGGTTGTGATGCTGAGGAAGTTGTTGGCATTCCCGAAGCAGCCTCCATAGATAAACGGTTCACAGGACTGAAGTTTAAAGTCAAAATACCAGCGAAAGATACTAACGTCACACCCTCCTTCTTCTGGGGGTAGCATGCAGGGTTCTGAAGGTGGGATGCAGAGAGGGAAGAACATAAAGGGTAGGAAAAAAGAGAAGGGGTTAGGCTCTCAGCTTTTACGCAGTTCTTAGTAGGACCATACAAGTCATAGAGAGAGCCACTGTAAATAAAAGCTCTAGCCTAGCTCTCCTACAAATATGGAACTGATCTTTGTTCTCTAAGGCCCTGAGCTTTGGGAGGACAAGATTTGTTCAGTGACTGTATCCAAAGTGCCTAAGGCATTATTGTGGTCTGACCCATTCATTTATATATATATCAGAATTTCCTATTATGAGATACTCTTTACTTTGAGACACCAGAAAACCTCTTTGAAAGCCAAAGAGTCTGAAACCAAGCCCAGCATCCAAGCTGACTGAGGTTTATATTTACCATGTGCCAACAATAGTCTCTTGACACTTAGTGAGCATGCAACAAGTATTAGTTGTGTGTGAGTGTTTGAATGTTGGATCAAAGAAGACTGTCATCAGTATTTTCCAGTTGACATCCCTCATGCCTGGACTCATTGTTTGTACTTGAGGGGTGGGAATCTGATTCAAGAACAAGAAAAGCATGAACCCTGACTTCTTGTCCTACCATCCAAGGGAATCATTTGACCAGCTCTGGATGGAGCAGGAAGTAAGACAACTCAAAAGATACCTGTGCCCTCAGCCTGGGGGCTATTACCTTGGAATGGATCCATGCACTTTTTCCCACAGGCAAATGAACAACACTTCATTTGTTTTAGGCAATCCCAATCAGTTGTGCAGAAGTCTGGAACTTGAATCTCACAGATGACCCTTTCTCGGGGGCACACTCCTGCTTTCTCTACAAGAAAGCAACATCCAAATTCAAATTCACATCCTTTGAGAGTTTCAGTTCTCCTCCCATGGCAAAGGTGAATAGTGACATTCGATCAGCCATCTCTTCTACCTTCCACCCTCAGTACCTCTGCTTAAATTTAGGAGCTGGGTCTTCCTCCCACCACTCATAGTTCATTTCGATTGATCTGAATCAGGAATCTGTGCCCAGGTCAACTGAAGGGGAATCATCTCAGATTTCATGGCAGGGAACTAGCTAGGAACCAAGAGCCTTTCCTTAAGTCCAGGAGCTTCTTTCTCCTCTTCAAACTTAATATGTTAATGCCCAATTCCTCTGCCTCCAGAGTCTTAGTTCATAGGGGAAATTAATGAGTAAGGAGGGGTAGAAATACCATGGAAATAGGAGTATAGGAGTCCTGACTCCTGACTTGGGTCCCTGACTCCTTGTGAAATCAAGACCAACCTGGGGGCGCCTGGGTGGCTCAGTGGGTTAAAGTCTCTGCCTTCAGCTTGGGTCGTGATCCCAGGGTCTTGGGATGGAGCCCCACATCAGGCTCTCTGCTCAGCAGGGAGACTGCTTCCTCCACTCTCTCTGCCTGCCTCTCTGCCTACTTGTGATCTCTGTCAAATAAATAAATAAAATCTTAAAAAAAAAAAAGACCAACCTGAGTTCCACTATATACCTTCTCAGTTACCCTTAAAGGGAACAGAAATGGGCAATGGGAGGAGCAGTGTATCACACCTGGTTTGGAGCCTGACTCCAACATGACTAGGTAAGTAATCTTGGGGGAAAAAATGTTTTCCTCCTGAGTCCAACATTTCCCATCTATAAAATGAGAATTATAATCTCTACCTTACAACCTGCTTCTAAGAATTAAGGGGGATGATGCTTACAATGCATTCACCACAGTGCCTGGCACATGGGAAGAGCTTGACAGATATGGGTTTTCTTCCCCCTTTTTAGGGCTTGACACAGCTTACTAATTTCTGAGCTTGTGGGAAGTAGAATTCTAAAGTTGCATCCCCAAGTTGTCTGTCCTCTGGTTATGAATCACACTTGAATTTAGGTGGGCTATGAGGGATTTCATAGATGGAATTAGAGTCCCAAGTTAATTGACCTCAAAATATAAAAATTATCTGACTTAGCCACATCTAAGTTGTTGAAACGTTAAAAAGAAGAGTTTCCCCCCTGACTAATAGAGAAGAGGTAAGATAAATTCCACATGTGAGAGGAACCCAACATGTTATTAGGAGCTTTGAGGACAGAGGGAACTTAGTATCCTGGACTGAAGGTGACCTCTGGAAGCAACCTCAGTGGTACAAGTGCAAGGAAATGATTCTGCCAGAGCCAGTGAGTGTCAATGAGAATCCTGAGTCCCAGATGCGAACTGCACTTTTCGTTGCAAACCTGGATGCTGCCTGCTGAGAACCTGAGCAGAAAATCCTTCGAGACCACACCAGACTTCTGACCAGAGAAGCATGATCCTTTTGGAGACTACTGAGTCTTGGAATTATAGGAGTTCAGAATTGGAAACACCATATTGATCATCAGTATCACTCTCCTAATTTCCAGGTTTTAAAAAAATGAAGTCAGATGGGAAAAATACAGTGAATGAGGAGTGAGTCTAGGAACTCTAATCCATAACTCATTCCAGAAGCCCTGAACAGTGGCCATTGAGACTTTTTGTACTTTCCAGCTTTATTTCTTATTCTTCATACCATGCTTCATACACTCTCCAAAGATGTCTAAGGCTAAGAAGAGTTATGGTTCCTAATTTTGAGTGTACATTGAAAACACCTGTGCATCTTTTAGAAACTACAGACCATGGCCTGAAACAGAATCTCTAGAAAGTGAAGCCTAGGGACTTAATTTTTTTTCTCTCTTTAAAATTTAAATTCAATTCACCAGTGTATCATACATCACTTAAAACTGCCTCCAGTGGGACATGGGGAGATGGAGAGGAGAAGGGAGTTGGGGAAAATTGGAGGGGGAGATGAACCATGAGAGACTGTGGACTCTGAAAAATGATCTGAGAGTTTTGGAGGGGCTGGGGGGTGGGAGGTTGGGTGAGCCTGGTGATGGGTATTATGGAGGGCACGTATTGCATGGAGCACTGGGTGTGGTGCATAAACAATGAATTCTGGAACACTGAAAACAAATTTTAAAAAAATAAAAATTTTTTTAAAAGTCGTAAAAGGAAAAATAAAGTGCCTCCAGTGACACAAAAGCAGGCAGTCGGGCACCATGATGTAGGCCGCTTAGAAATTACTGTTTTAGGTTTGGGCACAGAGAGAGTAAAGCAAATCAAATAGGGACACTTCCAAAGAGGTAAAAAGGCATAGAAATCTTGGGATTATAAAGACAAATGTCCCCTCACTAGTGTAGACTCTAGTCAGTCCTCCCTTCGGCTTCTGAGGCATGTAAACCATTTTTTGGTTTAGCCATTGTACTCCTTGCCCACTGTCAGCTTCAGCTGTCATTTAGAATCCTCCTCTCTCCCAGTCAGCCCTCCTCAACTACTAACCTTGTCTCCATGGTTTCCTCCCTGAATGCACATACCTTGGGCATTCCTCTACAGCTACTGGGGATGTTCCCCAAAGTTCGTATCTCAGCTCTCTTGTCATTACCTGACACACACGTCCTGCATCCATTCCCACCAAGCTAACTGTGATTACCATGCCTCCCTCCAGAACTTTTCTCACTTCCAAGCTGAAGGCACATATCCAACCATGTGGGAACATATATCTGGGAATCTCAAGAGACCTCTATGCCCACATGTATAAATCAGACTTACAATCTCCTATGCTTTAGCAGTGCCTCCCTCTCTCTGCTCCCATCTTCATATTTGGCATCAACAGACCCCCAGGTTCTCATGAGAACCCTGAGATTCACTCCTCCCTCTCTTTCACCCTAGCATCCAGTCAGTCATGTACTTGAGTCAGTTCTACCTCCTCATTTCTCTCCAAGCCCTATGGCTTTCCCTCTTTGCCACCATTTCCAGGTCAGCTCCTGACATCATCCCACCTCTCTCCTTCACTTGTGCAACCACTTCCTCACTGACTTCTGCCCTTGGGCTCCTGCCTAGTGATGACTCACCTTTAAAAAATTAAACTTGGAAAATACACATATCAGGTAAAGCTAGGGAAATAATTTGGAATGAACAGTGAGGAAGAATTTGAAGTTTCCAGGGTGAGTGAGTTGGGCTAGTTCTCTAAAGCCACAGAGGAAGTGACCTCATACAACACAAGTCTTTGTCTCCTTTCTGACCCTCAGTCCTAGGACGGCCTCCTAAGGAGGGGTGGCTGCAGCTTCTCTGAACTCACCTTTGACTTTCTTGATTAGTGATGAAGTGGTCTCCTCCGAAGACAGAGAGAGAAGCAGGAGTGCTACATTCCTCCAGGAGAAGGTAGAACTGTGGAGGGGAAGGTGTTTGTGTGGGATGAGAAGAGGCATGGGGATTAGGCACAAGCGAGACAGAGACACAGACCAGGTGCTGAGAACTGTGACAATGGCCCACCACTTCTCTCAGTTCACAGATGAGGAAACTGAGATGCACAGTGCGTAAGGGGTTTGTCTGAGGTCACGTGGCGAGTAGGGTAGGACTCTCAGGCCCCTTCCAGTGGCTCCACACTCTGCTACAGTACTCCACAGTGTCCCAGCAGGATATTTGCCCCATCTTGCTCCTACATGAGAGGTCACATATGGATGATCACAGGGATTTGTCTGGAATAGTTGCAGGGCTGGTTTGCCCACTGTCATTACCAAGGCAACCCCAGACATGAGTGCACACCTTTTTCTTGCTCCACTGATGACAAGAAACTGATGGTATGAGATTTTTAGGAGGGCCTGGGCATGTCCCACAGGGTCTTAGAGCACCAGGAGCAAAAAAATCCTGGATGACCTCGGGTTAACAAAAGGATTCCTCATATTCCTTCTGGTGTTATTCAAGCTTAGCTTCTGATACTCCCAGAGCCCCCCATAAATGAATGACCCTCCCCTACTCATTCCACCCCCATTTACACATGTCTCTTCCTGGTCCTTATGTACTTTTTAATTTTGTTATGTGAAGAACTGACAATGCCTTGCCGTGTTACCTCTCTCAGACTAAATGCATTTTGAAAACAACAAGAGAGGGATGGAGGCAGAAAGGAAGGGAGACAGAAAACATCATTATGCCCAGGAATGCACCTGTTATTGGTGGAACTTCAGACACTGGGAAAGGGGTAGAGTCTTTTCCAGATCTCCTGAAACCATGTATATATGGCTGCCTAAGAGTAAAGACTTGTGAAAATTTATTCATTTTTGTCTCCAGAATTCTAATCCTGTACCCTCCCCGAATTTTACAACAGTGCCTGACTGTTCAGTAATGACAATTATGGCTCCAAACCCAGTGAGTGACACTGATTTGTGGTACTGGCTTGGCAACTTATCAATGTAGCTATAACCTGGAGCCTCAGTTTCCTCATCTGGAAAATGGAAACCCTACAATGTACTGGGCAGCTTTGCTGTCACTGTGAGGATTAGATGAGATCAGGGGAAGATTATTCATGAAGTGGCATGGAATGGTCAAAAACAGTGCTTGGAATTGGACCTGAGTTCACATCGTGGATCCCCCACTTACCAGCTAGTGGTCTCGGCTCTGCCACTGAACCTCACTGAGCCAAAGTCTTCCTTCCTTCTTTTCTTCTTTCCTTCCTTCCTTCTTCCCTTCCTTTCTTCCTTCCTTCCTTCCTACCTACCTACCTTCTTCTTTCTTTCAATATTTTAGTTTTAACTAGTCTTTAAACTCAATGTGGAGCTTGAACTCACAAGCACAAAATCAAGAGAGCCATACTCTTCCAACTGAGCCAGCCAGGCGTCCCACACCTCAGTTTTCCTTAAGGAAATAGTAACACACCTACTTCATAGACATGGGAATTAATAGAACTATTGTGGAAAGCACAGTGACTACCTAATTAGTGCTTAATATATTTTAGTCAATAGACAAGTGATTTACTGAATACCAAAAAAAGGTATCTATTATCTTTTTAGTTCCTGAATTTCCTGTAAGAAACAAAAACAAAAACTGTGTGTTTCATTATTCTGTTCCCCCAAAAGATTAGCCAAGGCCTTATGGTGTCTTACATTTTTATATCAGATCTCTGTTTTGGTTTGAAGTTTTACACCCATTAACCCAGTCTTGAGTACTCATTGATCATATTAGCTGGTAGTCAATTAGTAGGAAGCAGAGTTCCAGTGGTGCAGGTACAAAGAAAGATGAAGACCAATTGGATTGCCAAATATAATACTGGATATTCAATTAGTATTTTTTAAAAATAAATAGACTTTGATCTAGAGAAGTTTTAAGTATACAGAAAATTTGAGCAGAAAGTACAGAGAGTTTTCATATGCCCCTTGCCATCCAGTTTCCCTATTACTAACATCTTGCATTAATATGGTACATCAGTTACAACTGATGAACTAACACTGATACATTATTTTTTTTTAATTTTTATTTTTTGTTGTGTTGTTAGTCACCATAAAATACATCATTAGTTTTTGATGCAGTATTCTAAGATTCATTGTTTACGTACAACACCCAGTGCTCCATGTAATACGTGCCCTCCTTAATACCCACCACCATGCTCACCCATCCCCCCACCCCCTATCCTCTAAAACCCTCAGATTGTTTCTCAGAGTCCTCAGTTAGTATTTTTAGTAGGAGTATATCCCATGAAATATAAAGACCATAGGCACACTAAAAATGCTTCAGTGTTTATCACACATTCAAATTTAGTTGGTCATCTTATATTTTTATTTCCTAAACCCAGCAACATTAAAACAGAGTGAATTCATTCTGGAGGGGGATTTGTTTGGGCAAGTGACTACAAAACATGGGTCCTGTCGGAAACAGGCAAATGGGTGAGGGGGACTGGTTCAGTGGCTCTGTGGACTGAGACAGACTTGGAAGGCAGAGGCAAGGGTCTTATAGGAACAACAATGAGCCAGGAAAGAAGAGACTGTCTGAAGCCCAAGTTCCACCAGTAATTCACCATGTCACTTTGGGCTACTCCTTTCTCAGCTTGGCCATTTGAAAAATGAGAAGATCAACTCAATCAGTCCTGTCTGTACTGCATGCTGGCATATCCATACCCCAGAGGGCGCAGGAAGATCTCCTAGAGGGTACACAGGCACAGACAGAGTTGAGGTCATGATGTCCTGGTTCTTAAATTCCACATTTACTTTTTCCTGAAGTTGGTCTGCCTGAAAAAGAGCCTGCAGTCTGCCTTTCTCCCTTTCTATTTATCTTTCTACTTATCTTTTAGAAAGTCCTGAGCTGCTTCCAAAAAAGGTAGAGATGGAAGCATATTCCTTACCTTTCTCTTACATGTGTCCAAAGTATAAAAACTGAGTTCCAAGCAAAGGAACAATTTGAAAATGCATTTTCCTGGGGATGCTTCCCCAAGAACAAAGCAAAAAATAGGTGGGTAGGAAACACTTAGGGGTCAGTACCTTGTTTTATTCAGGTAACAAAATCACAGTACATTATTATGCCTTTAGCCCCTCTCCTAGAGTTAGAAATTCCAAGAGCGATGGTACATATCCACATGATGTGTATGAAAATATTCATTTCAATTGAAAAATGAAGTCAGTCTTTTTGTGGGAGAAAATGGTATGATTTGGCTAGCTGAGGATTGACTTTGTCAATTAGTTGATTCATTTAACATTTTTCATAAATATAGTGAGATAATCTGTGGCATCAAAAAAAGTGAATGTATTTAAAGCATACAATAAGATACTTTATAAAATATATAAAGCACTTTATAAAATATATAATATCACAGGTTTATCAAAGTTAATAGTAGTCAAACTTTCCAATATTTATAAAGTGTATCAGATCAAATAAGTTGTCTAAATAAAAGAATACTGGGTATAACTAAGACTATTATTGATCATTTGGTAAATACTGGTAAAGACTTTTTGGAAAACTTTCCAGAAATTAAGAAAACCACTTCTGATTTTTTTTAAAAGATTTTATTTGCTTATTTGACAGGCAAAGATCACAAGGAGGCAGCAAGGCAGGCGGGGTTGGGGGGAACAGGCTCCTCACTGAGCAGAGAGCCCAATGTGAGGCTTGATCCCAGGACCCCGGGATTGTGACCTGAGCAGAGGCTTAACCCACTGAGCCACCCAGGCGCCCCAACCACTTCTGATTTTTGATTAGTATCCTAATTAGTAGGAAACAAATTCTTTTAAAGTATAAGGTTTCCAATTCTTAATTCTTAAAAATTGAAAGGGGGCTAATCAATCAGTTTATTAATATTTAACTTAGATCATTAAAATTTTTTTTATTATAGAGTATTATGTGATTTGGGGCACCATACTACAAGTTCAAGGAACCAAATGACATACCAATAACAAAACTCGTTTTGCAAAGAAAATGTGGTAATATATACAATGGAATACTATGCAGCCATCAAAAGAAATGAAATGAAATCTTGCCATTTGTGATGATGCGGATGGAACTAGAGGGTATTATGCTTAGTGAAATAAGTCAATCAGAAAAAAACAACTATCATATGATCTCCCTGATATGAGGAAGTGGAGATGCAATGCGGGGCATTTAGGGGGTAGGAAAAGAATAAATGAAACAAGATGGGATCAGGAGGGAGACAAACCATAAGAGACTCTTAATCTCACAAAACAAACTGAGGGTTGCTGGGGGGAGGGGGGTAGGGAGAGGGTGGTGGGGTTATGGACATTGGGGAGGGTATGTGCTATGGTGAGTGCTGTGAAGTGTGTAAACCTGGAGATTCACAGACCTGAACCCCTGGGGCTACTAATACATTATATGTTTATTAAAAAATAAAAAAATTATTTAAAAAAAAACAGAAAACAAAAACAAAAACAAATAACAAACAAAAAAACCCCCAAACTCCTTTTGGAACCCAGTACTTACTCATCACTAAGAGACATATTGCTTATAGAATTTTGTTTATCAATAAAATTTCATTAATCAATAATTTCAATGTATCTACTCACATATCCATTATTATTATGTTATTTAAATAAAAAATGGAATGAAGAATCAATCCATAAGAAAACCTTTTATTCCTAGAGTCTTATGGTCCTAGTAAATGAGAAATTAAAATTTCAATCTACACATGTTTTTATTGCATAGAAGTATGAAAAGTTGTGATTAAAATACTCTCAAATATGAAGGAAAGAAATTTTAAAAAATGAAAGACTCTTGAGCATAAGATTATATTGCACTAGATTAAGAGTTTGTGGGTCAGTAGGAATGGAAATATGAATTCAAGGAGAATGAGAATTGCTTTAAAATGTCCCACTTTTAAAGAATTGCTTTCCATGTATTTTTTTTCTGAAGGTATGATTGTGGATATCAAGTTAGGATGGTATTTTGACACCAATGGATTTACTTTAAAAAGTTATGTAGCAGTTTTAACAATATTAATATTTATAACATACTTGCATAATGCGTTTGAGATCCCTTCATATTTTTTTCTGTAAAGGATTATTATTTATTTATTATTATTTATTTAATAATAGTGTTTTAATATTTTTAATATACAAGTTTATTAATATATAAATTTAATATTATTAATATATAAATTAAAATTTTTAAATACCATTTCTTTTGTCTAATTCTTTTTAAATTTCTCTTTTATAATACATAATATTTTAGTATAGTGGTACATATATCTAATTTATAGGTAAGAATATATATATTTAGAACACACTACAAACAATCTTAATATGAATGTACACCAAAATGGTTTGAAATTTTTCCTCTAGTGAAGCCATCAGCAGATTAATGATAGCTGTTGTGTGTTGCCTGGACCTTTTTATTGCTGATTTAGGGTTCATCTTATGAATTACCACAGGTTGTTTATCCATTCACTAGTTATGGACTCTTGGGTTGTTTCCAATTTTGGGGGATTCTGAATAAACCCCCTACAAACATTTTCATATGAATATAAATTGTCATCTCTCTTGGGTAAATACCAAGGAGTAGGATTGCTGGTTTGGGATAAGTATATGTTTATAAGAAACCACCAAAATGTTTTCCAAAATGGCTGTACCATTTTGCATTTCTATTAGTAATATATGAGAGTTCCACTTGCCTCATTGCTAGCATTTAGGATTGTAGATGTGCTATATTAGTCATTCTAATGCATACATAGTGGTACAGTCGCAAGAAATTTTAAGAGATTAAAGTAACTTGCTTAAATTTCTGGGATCCTAAGAAGTTAAGTCACTTAAAATGATGGTGGGGATTTTTTCTTATATCCCAACTGTTCATTTGACAATGTTTCAAACCCAATGGGTTCCTCAGTTCCTGAGCCTGGTTGGTCAGAAGTTTCCCCAGAACTCCATCATAGAACCTACCTCTTTGCCCAGCTTCTCCACGTGGCAAAGATTGCTCTTTGCAGTAAACAGAGGAGCATTTTGCAATCAAAAGGTCTACAGATGGTCAGGAGCTGGGGGAACAGTGTGAATTTCCAGATTACAATTTGGGGAAACTACAGGTAAGGCCCCACTATGATTCTACTACATCCCATGACCCCTGCTGCTCCTTCCACTCCCACCCCATGCCTCAGGTCCTGTTTCCATGGCTGAGAGCTCCTCCCTCACATTTTCCTCCTCCCAATGGCATGGCAGGTCTTCTGCTTGGCTACTCAACCAAGAATGTGCCTTTAGCCTCAGTCACTGAGCAGACCTTGAGGAGAACAATTAGCTCCATGGGTCTCTTTCATACACCTTGCCCTAAATTTAGGCAGAGTAAATAGATGTCTTCTACATAACTCCTATCCAGTGATCAACATTCTGAATCTGAAACTCTCTAAGTGTGGCATGCCAAGCTCGGCATCTCTCTACTGTGTATTCTTTAAATATCTTAAATCTTTCTAACTGTTTCTGTCTTTGACCTATCAGTAATTCAGGAAAGTATGTCAAGGGCTCTCAGTACAAGGACTTCTCAATTTATGTCTGTAATTCCATCAATGTTTGTTTAATATATCTAAATTGTATTGATTTAGATAAATAGAGTTTCTGGTGAATCAGATCTTTTATCATTATATGGTGTCCCCTTTTCTATCCCCAAAATAAACTCATCTTCTAACTCTGTATTGCCTGATATTAATCTAACTATACCATTTCTTTTTAGTTTGCATTAACCTCGACTTCCCCCCCCCATTTTGCTATCAACCTTTCCATGCATTTTTGTTTTATTTTTCAAACAGTGTCAATCTACATTAAAAAAAAATCCAACCTAGTAATCTTTACCAATTAATTGACATTTATAGGCTTTAATGACCTATTTGGGTTCATTTCTACAATCTTATTTTGAGTTTTCTGTAATCGATCCTTATTATTTGCAGATTCCCTATTTGCAAATTTATTTTTTTTTATCAAGCAACTCAATATCAAGAAAACAGATAACCTCCATGTTATTCCTTATGCTCCATAAGTAAGTGAAACCATATAATTGATTCTTTCTGCTTGACTTATTTCACTCAGTATAATCTCCTCCAGTCCCATCCATGTTGATACAAAAGTTGGGTATTCATCTTTTCTAATGGAGGAATAATATTCCATTGTGTATATGGACCATATCTTCTTTATCCATTCATTTCTTGAAGGTCATCTTGGCTCTTTCCACAGTTTGGCAATTGTGGCCATTGCTGCTATGAACATTGAGGTACATATGGCCCTTCTTTTCACCATATCTGTATCTTTGGGATATTAGAGAAGGAAAGAAAAAGTGAATTTGAGGAAATCAGAGGGGTTGACAAACCATGAGAGACTGTGGACTGTGAGAAACAAACTGAGGGTTTTGAAGTGGAGGGGGGATGGAGGTTAGGTGAGCCTGGTGGTGGGAATTAAGGAGGGCATGTATTGCATGGAGCACTGGGTGTGGGGCATAAACAATGAATCTTGGAACACTGAAAAAATGAAATTAAATTTTAAAAAAATTTAAAAACAAAACAAAAAGAAAGAAATAACCTGATTAATAAATGGACAAAGGGGGGCTGCCTGGGTGGCTCAGTGGGTTAAGCCTCTGCCTTCAGCTCAGGTCCTGATCTCAGGATTCTGGGATCGAGTCCCACATCAGGCTCTCTGCTAGGCAGGGAGCCTGCTTCCTCCTCTCTCTCTCTCTCTCTCTCTCTGCTTGTGATCTCTCTCTCTGTCAAATAAATAAAATCTTTAAAAAAAATAAAAAATAAATGGACAAAGGACTTGAATAGAAATTTCTCAAAAAAAAAAAAAAAGTACAAGTGACCAACCATTATATGGAAAGGTGTTCAACATAACTGATCATCAGGGAAATGAAAACCAAATCTACAATGAGATATCTTGTTAAAATGGCTACAAGAGAGGTGCCTGGGTGGCTCAGTCAGTTAAGCATCTGCCTTCAGCTAGGGTCATGATCCCAGCGTCCTGGGATCAAGCCCCGCATCAGGCTCCCTGCTTAGTGGGAAGTCTGCTCCTCCCTCTCCCACTTCCCCTGCTTGTGTTCTCCATTGCTGTGTCTCTCTCTTTGCCAAGTAAATAAAATCTTTTTAAAAATGGCTGCAAGATAACACATGTTGGCAAGGATGTGGAGAAAAGGGCTCTTGTGTGTGTTTGGTGGGAATTTAAATTGGTGCTGTCACTACAGAAAACAACCTGGAGGTTCCTCAAAAAATCAGAAACAAGACTACTATATGACCCAGCAATCCTACTTCTGGGTATATTATGTTCAAAAGGTATGAAAGCAATATCTTGAAGAGATATGTGCACCTCCATGTTCACTGTAGCATTATTCATGATGACCAAGATATGGAAACAATCTAAGTACCAGTGGATGGGTGAATGGATTAAGAAAATGTGATATATATGGATATTATTCAGCCTTAAAAAAAAAAAACCTGTCATTTGCAACAACGTGGGTGAATCTGGAGGATATTATGCTAAGTGAAATAGAGCTACCCTATGACCCAGCAATTGCACTACTGGGTATTTGCCCAAAGACACAGATGTAGTGAAAAGAAGGGCCATAGTGAAAAGAAGGCCCAATTTTCATAGCAGCAATGTCCACAATAGCCAAACTGTAGAAGGAGCCAAGATACTGTTCAACAGACAAATGGATGAAGAAGATGTGGTCTGTATATACAATGGAATATCACTCAGGCATCAGAAAGGATGAATACCCACCATTTGCATCAGTATGGATGGAGCTGGAGGATATTATGCTGAGTGAAATAAGTTAAACAGAAAAAGACAATTACCAGATGGTTTCACTTATTTGTGGAACATAAGGAAGAGCATGAAGGACATTAGGTGAAGGAAGGGAAAACTGAAGAGGGGGACTTCAAAAGGGGAGATGAACCATGAGAGACTCTGGACTCTGAGAATCAAACTGAGGGTTTTGTGGAGGGATGGGTGAGCCTGGTGATGGATATTAAGGAGGACTCATATTGCATGGAACACTGGGTGTTATTAGCAAACAATGAATCATGGAATGCTACATCAAAAACTAATGGATTCCTGTCCCACGTTGAGGTCTTTTATTCATTTTGAGTTTATCTTTGTGTATGGTGTAAGAGAATGGTCGAGTTTCATTCTTCTACATATAGTTGTCCAGTTTTTCTAGCACCATTTATTGAAGAGACTGTCTTTTTTCCACTGTATATTTTTTCCTGTTTTGTCGAAGATTATTTGCCCATAGAGTTGAGGGTCCATATCTGGACTCTCTACTCTATTCCACTGGTCTATGTGTCTGTTTTTATGCCAATACCATGCTGTCTTGGTGATCACAGCTTTGTAGTAAAGCTTGAAATCAGGTAACGTGATGCCCCCAGTTTTATTTTTGTTTTTCAACATTTCCTTAGAGATTCGGGGTCTCTTCTGATTCCATACAAATTTTAGGATTATTTGCTCCAGCTCTTTGAAAAATACCAGTGGAATTTTGATTGGAATGGCATTAAAAGTATAGATTGCTCTGGGCAGTATAGACATTTTAACAATGTTTATTCTTCCAATCCACGAGCATGGAATGGTCTTCCATCTTTTTGTGTCTTCTAATGAGTGTTCTGTAGTTTGAGTACAGTTCCTTTACCTCTTTGGTTAGGTTTATTCCCAGGTATGTTGTGGTTCTTGGCGCTATAGTAAATGGAATCGATTCTCTAATTTCCCTTTCTGTATTTTCATTGTTAGTGCATAAGAAAGCCACTGATTTCTGTACATTGACTTTGTATCCTGCCACATTGCTGAATTGCTGTATGAATCCTAGAGGAGAACATAGGCAGTAACCTCTTCGATATCAGCCACAGTAACTTCTTTCAAGATATGTCTCCAAAGGCAAAGGAAACAAAAGCGAAAATGAACTTTTGGGACTTCATCAAGATCAAAAGCTTCTGCACAGCAAAGGAAACAGTTAACAAAACAAAGAGGGAACCCACGGAATGGGAGAAGATATTTGCAAATGACAGTACAGACAAAAGGTGAAATAAGTGAAATAGAGCTACCCTATGACCCAGCAATTGCACTACTGGGTATTTGCCCAAAGACACAGATGTAGTGAAAAGAAGGGCCATAGTGAAAAGAAGGCCCAATTTTCATAGCAGCAATGTCCACAATAGAACTCCTCAAACTCAACACACACAAAACAGACAATCATATAAAAAAAAATGGACAGAAGATACGAACAGACACTTCTCCAATGAAGACATACAAATGGCTATCAGACACGTGAAAAAAATGTTCATCATCACTAGCCATCAGGGAGATTCAAATTAAAACCACATTGAGATAGCACCTTACACCAGTTAGAATGGCCAAAATTAGCAAGACAGGAAACAACATGTGTTGGAGAGGATGTGGAGAAAGGGGAACCCTCTTACACTGTTGGTGGGAATGCAAGTTGGTACAGCCACTTTGGAGAACAGTGTGGAGATTCCTCAAGAAATTAAAAATAGAACTTCCCTATGACCCTGCAATTGCACTACTGGCTATTTACCCCAAAGATACAGATGTAGTGAAAAGAAGGGCCATCTGTACCCCAATGTTTATAGCAGCAATGGCCACGGTTGCCAAACTGTGGAAAGAACCAAGATGCCCTTCAACGGACGAATGGATAAGGAAGATGTGGTCCATATACACTATGGAGTATTATGCCTCCATCAGAAAGGATGAATACCCAACTTTTGTAGCAACATGGATGGGACTGGAAGAGATTATGCTGAGTGAAATAAGTCAAGCAGAGAGAGTCAATTATCATATGGTTTCACTTATTTGTGGAGCATAACAAATAGCATGGAGGACAAGGGGAGATGGAGAGGAGAAGGGTGTTGAGGGAAATGAAAGGGGAAGTGAACCATGAGAGACTATGCACTCTGTAAAACAATCTGAGGGTTTTGAAGGGGCGGGGGGTGGGAGGTTGGGGGAACCAGGTGGTGGGTATTAG